CGGTTCGTTTTTTTCATCTTATTCAATATACAAAACGGTCGCGGCCATTGTATTTTATTTTTTACTCATTCACTGGGGTGCTTGTTTACATTTTTTAATACCACGTTTAATTTATTACCACGAATTATTGAATTGTCAAAAGGGACGGTGCAGGTATTCGTGGTTGACAGTATCTAGGCTCACTAAAAAAACCCTATTTAAACAATATGCGACGGGAGCGTACAAAACATTAACTTGTTTTGCAAGATTGGGTAACGAAAACATAACGTTAATAAACGTGGAGGATAAAGTTTTATCGATACTTTTAGGTTTCGTTGGTATAATTTATTGGATGTTACTTTTGATAGTGAGTATAAAAATGTACTCGACTATCACATTGGGTAAAGCGAGTTATTTGGAAATAATAGATCAAGTTCGTCATTACATGAACCTGAAAAAATTTCCACCGAATTTAAGGAGGAGAATAGAAATGTATTACACGTACATGTTTCAAAAAGATTTCGTACCGGAACAGAGAATACTACAATTTTTATCGGAAAATCTCAGACAGGAAACGATATTGAAAATGCATCAGAATTTAGTGGAAAAAGTTTACATGTTTAGCAGTTTAAACGAAACGTTAATCTACGAAATAATTAGATGTCTCAAACGTGAAATTTATTTAACCGGTGATTATTTTTATAAATTTGGCGAAATCGGTACTTGCATGTATTTCATATCTTTCGGTACGGTTGCCATTTACACGGAAAAGGGTAAAGAAATCGGTCATTTGGAAGACGGCGAATATTTCGGTGAATTATCCGTTTTGTTTAACGTGAGACGACCGGTAACGGTCGTCGCGATCGAAACGACGGAAGCATTCAGTTTTCAAAACGATGATTTTATGAAAATAATAAAACCTAATGTGAAAATTTATGCTAGAATGGAAAAAATAGGATTGGAAAGAATAAAAAAAAGTAGAAACGTAGCGAGTAACACTCATACTTCGTGGAAATTAAAATCGAACGAATCGAAACATTCAAAAGTGGTAAATTCATATATTGATGATGATGAAGATGATGATGATTATGATGGTTATACAAGCGAGGAAACGGAATTAAAATAATTTATTAATAATAGTTGATTGTAGTCGATTAATATCCGGTTGTTCACAGTTTTTTTTTTTTACTATCACAACAGTATGCAGTAATAAAACGGAAACGACAAATTTATACAGTAATAATTACAGCAGCATAATACATAAATAATAATAATATTAATATCTTACCATCGTTATTTGTTTTTTTTAAAACATCACTTAAAATATCTTTTATTAAAAATGATTTGTTTGTTTGCATTATTATTATTATTATTATTTTCACACACACTTTTAATTATTATTTACCACATGAATGTCACATTTTGTTTTTTTTTTTTTTTTGAAAAAAATCACAAACTAATCGTACTAAAATAAATCACAAGAGTTGATTTAAAAATGGTCCGAAGAATGGAAAATATTTGTTGAAAATGGAAAAGTGTCGTCGTTTATCCAGGAGGGAAAACGACGTGGTTTTCCAGTGAATTTTAATGAATAAAATCATTAAATCATCCCTTCTACTTTTTTATCTTATACATCCCCCATTTTAAATGGTTTTTTTGGTTTTTTTTTTTTTAATGATTTAATTGGTTTTCATTTTTTTTTTTTTTTACATATAAATTTTTATTGAAATAATATTTTTAAAAAATAATAATAATAATTACTTCATTATATATTTTTCACAAGTGGTTATTATTATAGTATTATTAATATAAAAAAATATTTATTAAAGTGATTAATTAATTAATTAATTAATTACAATTTATTATTTAAAATTAATTATTTATTTTATTGTATTGTTAAATTATTAATTGAGATTTTAGATATGTGTGGAAAAGTGCAAAAGGAAAATTTTTTTTTTTTTTGTTAAATAATCTTTTTATTTATTAATTAATAAGTACGTTTATGTATTTGACATGAAGTTTTAAATAATTATTAAATTTGTTAATAATTAATAAATAATTTAAAAAATTGTTTAAATTAAAAAAGAAAATTTTTATATTTTTTACGGTTGCTGAAACGGTGTGAATATAACATAAAATCATACGTTTCGATTAAAAACAACCCCCGTGTAAAATGAAATAATTTGATTGGTCGATGGGAAAAATACGTTGAATTTTTTCATTGGTCGTTGGGTAAAAACCAGTTAGGAAGAGGGAAACGGAGGGATGATGCTCAATTTGCATTTGAATTATTTTTTATTTTTAACGAGGAAGAAATGGTTACGTCGAGAGGGTTTCCGGTATTACGATTCTTTTAATAATGGGATTCCAGTTTTTTTTTTTTTTTTCCTTTACCATCTTTTTCAAATCATCTTCCGCCATTCTGATCTCCCTCATTTCTTTTTTTTTTTTTCCTCCAAGGCTTTTCAGTTTCAATTTCAAAATGTTTTTTGTAAATTTACAAGAGCGTAAAATGTATATATGTATGTATATATATAAATAAATACGTGATAAAAAAAAAAACTTAAGACAGAACCGTAATAACGCAAACTCTCTCTCTCTCTCTCTCTCTCTCTCTCTCTTTGTTGCAAACAATTTAATTTTTCTTTAATAAATCTTTATTTCGGTCCTGTTATTATTTTTTTTTTGTTTTTCGAATCAAGGTAATTATTACATAAAGGTTTTTCTTTTTTTACCCTTTCTCTCCCCCTCCCCTCTCTTTTATTTTCCACTTTTCTAAACTTTAAGTAATTTAACATGAACAAAACCAACAGCAACAACAAGAGAGCAAAGTTAAAAAATAATAATGATAATTTTTTTTTTGTTTAAATAATTCGGAAAACATTTTCAATATAAACTTTGAAATTGATATCTCCCGGGAAATTAAATTCAATATTAAGTTATAATTTTAATTTATTCTCGAATAATATTTAATATATGTATATATATACAGGGTGTTATACCAAATAAAATAATTTTATATTAATTTTTACGTTAATTATTAACTATCGATAAATTTTTACGAAGAGAATATTTTTTTTTTTATGGCGTTCGAAATGTTTTCGTGAAAACGTTAAATAAATATTTAAAAAAAGGATTTTGTCGAAAAAAATTTTTATTGAGTCACCCTGTATATAAATTCGTATATATATACAAATAAAACTATTAAGATGCAAATGGAAGTCAATTGACTTTTGATTGTTTCATTTTGACAAAAATTTCCCCATCGGATAAATTCATTTTAATCATCGAAAAATATTATTTTCATTTATTTATATATTATTTCAACCAATTTTTATTTATTATAAAAAAAAATAACTTTTTAAAAGTCATTATTTTGTTTGAAATTTTTTAATTTTCAAAGCGTCCGCCATATTGAAATTGAATAAGTTTTAACGTCTTTCCTCACTAAATTTTTTTTTACATTTTTTTTTTTATGTAAAGTGTGTGTGTGTGTGTGCACTTTTTTAAATAATGCTCGACGTTTTATTATACTCAAGTAAATATTTTTTATTTTTGATTATCTTTTATTTTAAATAAATTGTTTATAATATTTGAGAATCTTTCATGCAATCATTAAAACGTTTTTTTTTTTTTTTTTTATAAGGAGTTAATAATAAAATTAGTTTTTGATGATAATAATTAAAAAATTATATTTTAAATAAGTTATACAAATTCAATTGAACATTATATTTAAAAAATTATATTTAAGTTTAAATTAAAAACATTCACAACCATTTGACATTTATTAAAAAACTTTTTTAGATTATTAAATAAATTAATAATTAGATTTTAAAATGGAAAAATTGTCTTACAAAAAATTATGTAAATTTTATTTTTATATATTATAATATAAAATAACAAAGTTCATTTTTGTTATTAAAAACCCAATGATTATTAAATTAATATTATAAAAAAAATATGAATACTCGATATTTGATTAAACTTACATTGGGTTTTTAATTAATTAAAATTTCTGAGTTAATGTTTATTATTTTACAATAATTACAAATACAGTAACATTTTTCAGGTTTAGATATTATTAAAAAATAATAAAAAATTGATTTTTAAAAGAATACAAAATCAATAAATAAAAACACATTAGGATGATAAATAGAAATTTATCGACAATATTGCTTAAAAAAATTTTTGTCACAATCGTAATGAATTCCTCGTTTAGGTGTAATCTTACCTCACACTTCCAGACCCAGAGCCCAATCTTATTACGCTTACTTCAACAGGGGAATCTCTGTCAAATGAAACCTAAAAAAATTTAAAGCATTTTTAATAATTTCAAAATGTTATAAATTCATTAATGACAATATAATCTTAATAGTTTACTTTCAAAGCTAAAAAATCACATGAATAATGCAAAACTTGATGAATTTTTTTCTCGGCTGAAAAAATTTCCTTTTTATAGTTTTTTGTATTTTTGCCTTTTAGTTTTAACTATTTATTACGATATTGTCGAATGGTATTACCACAATTGAATATTTACTAATTTTGTATATATTTCAACTAAATGTAATCGTTATTACTTGAAAAATGTTTTTTATAACTAATTGTTAATAATTTTATTAAAAATGAAGCCATAAAAGGATCGAAACAGGAATGAAGTGGGGTAAATAAAAGGCATTGAATATAAATATTAATGTAAGAATGCTTAAGAAAATAAATAATTTAATATAAATGGCATAAATGCATATTTAATAACATAAAGTAACAAAATCATTAAGGAAACATTTTAGACTAATTAAAAAAAAAAAATATAATAAATATTTATTTTATAATTATTTTAGTTATACCTCCATATCCATTTCATCTTCGTCATCGTCATCATGTGTATCACTTTCGTCGTCATCGTCGTTATCTTCTTCTTCGTCATCATCTTCTTCTTCTGGTTGCTTAAGAAAATTAATAAAAAAAGTAAGTGTCGAAGCAAAAACAAATATATTTTTACATTAGTTTTAAATTAATTATATAGAAATTTACCTCGGCAGCAGTTTTTCCAATAGGAATAATATCACAGTTTTTTTGAGCAATACTGTTAAGCTTAAAAATAAAAATTACATTAAAAAAAAAAAAAAATAGTGTAAACAATAATATCAAGTCGAAATTTTTTTTAAAAAAAATACCCAATCTGTGTGTTCTTGTTCGAGTTGTGTTAATTCAGCATCTTCATCAATGGCTTTATCAACGTTAAACCAAAGTGGATCCGTTAATTTAGGCGTTAAATTCGGGAATAAAGGTGACGATATATTTTCCATTTGATTTTATAGGTTATGAAATGCCGTGTCGAAACGAATAATATTCAAAATTCAAAATCTTTGCTACGATTTAAAGCATCTCGAACGATTTTGCTACCGGTCAAAAAATTTAATTTTTGTGAATTTCAAAACGCACTCAAATGGAATTACAATGGCGCCAATATTGTAAATGTACAGTTTTAATAGCATTTTTTCAAAATTAAACTATTGTTATTCAAAATGTTTAGTTTATGGTTATTTTTATAATTAAAACCATCGTTTTGATCATTATTAACAGTAAAGTATTTATAAAATTAAGTATTCAAAGTGATGATGATAATATTTGTGTGTGAATAATTACTGTAATGAAAATTGGTCAAATATCATTAATGTATATCAAAAGTATCAATTTTACAACATTAATTAGCCAATTTTGCTATCACAGTAACTTTTAAATAATATTTTATGGTTAAACAAATAATAAACGTACAGAATTTAAATTATTTCACTCACAATCATTTACATGTATGCATTATGGCAACAAATTTTCTTTTTTATTTAAATATAAAGGTTTTTTTTATAAATAAATTATTGCCATTCAAATAATTGTTTTAGAAACATATATAAATATTTTAAAGCGTAATCATATGTAAGTGAGTGTGTAAATTAAAGAAAAATTTCACAATATATGTAATTTTGTAACAGACATATTTAATTAAATAATTGATGAATTATATTAGTTGCTAATTTTTTTGTTAAGGTGAGAGAGAGAGACAACGACGATCAGGTATTAAACAACGCACCTGAACTCAAACGAATAACAATTCATTGGAAGTCAAGTAAAAAATTATTGAGGTACTAATTGTTAAGAGAACGCGCGACATGGTCAAGTTTCGACACTCAGTGCATGGATGTGTGTTTCTTTCAGTATTTCAGGAATCAGTACGAGTCGTGGATTAATATCGGTTATACACGATGTATTCATCAAATAACAACAACGGTTACCTCGCGTTTAACTTATTATATATCGAATAATGTGTTTCGCGTCTGAGTTATGATGACTCTTATGAAAACGTTTTTTAAAATATTCGTTTAATTTTATTATTATTATTTTAAGTGAAAAAGTGATTTTATTAATATAAAATATTAATAATAGTAACAATAAAATCAAAATGGCTGATGAAGAAATGGTGACACCGGTGCAGACTCCAACTCTGCCGCGTCATAATTTTGGATATCAACAAACTTTGGTGAGTTTTTTTCTTTTTCTCTTTTTCCCATTCGTCATAATATTATTTTTATTTCTTTTTAATAACAAATTTAGGTTATAAAAAAAAAAAAGAAAATTTTTTTCTTGCCAAAATACTTTTGGCAAACAATTATTATTATTAATATCAAAAAGTACAGAAATAAAAAAAATATCATGACAATGTTAAAATTTTTTTCGAATCGTTTTTTATTTACCCCCCCCCCAAAAAAAAAAGAGATAATAATAATAAATAAATAAAAAACGAATCGAAATTATTATAACAAAAAATAATTTTATTATTATTTATTCGCGATAATGAAATTTATTACTCGAAAAACAACAAAAAAAAAAAAAATTCGAACGGATTTACAAAGGAGGAGACAAAATGTCTGCTCATTGTTGCCACTTTTTTTTTTTTTTTTTTTTCCCCCCTAATAATGTTTACACGGGTAAAATCTTAAACAAATATTCTTGTTATTTCATCGTTTTCTCATTATTTAATATTAAACATTAAAATTTGTTTTCATTATTATTAAAATATTTACACAACTTTACATTCACGCTCATAAATTAATTTTATATTTCGTGTGAGGAATCTGCCTCCTCGCCTCCCCAATCCAACCCTTGAAACAAAAAAACGAAGGCCGCCATTTTTTTTTCCGTTAAATTTTAAAAATTTGTTTTTCGTAATTAAAAAAAAAAAAAAAAACTTGCATTGAACGTTTTATTTAAACTTGGTTTTTTGTTATTCGAGGTTGACCGGTCAATATTTTAGAATTTAATAAATCAAAAACAACTTTACTATTTTGCGATTATGTTTGTTGTTTGTTTTATTATTATTATTATTATTATTATTAACATTTAACTTTCTCGTGAAAATGACAAAAAAAAAAATAGGAGGAAAAATAACGATTTCATCATCATTATTATTAAAATAAATTACGGCATTAAAAAAAAAAAAAAATATTTTTAATCTCAAACTCATTTTTTTAATTTACAATTATTATTTCATAATAAAAAGATAATAAAAAAAAAATTTATTCTAAAAATAAAGTTACAAATCGAAATTGTTTTATTTATCACATATATATATATTTTTTTTTTTGCTCGTTTGTTTGCTCGTTTGTTTGTTTGTTTGTTTTTGCAAAATATAAAGTTTCATTTACACACACACACAAAAAAAAAAAAATTAGATAAGCTTTGAGTTCTTTTTACCCGTTGTATAAAAAAAAAATGGTGTTAAAATATCGTATTAAAATTTTTTTTTTTTTTTTTGATTTTAAGCCAAGCAATTTTTTTTTTTTTGCTTACTCTTAAAAAAAAAAATTAATTAGAACGTTGTGC